AATAATAGCAGTAACATGAACAAGAACAACCACAATAATAATAATAATGATAATAATAATAATAATAATAATAATAATAATAATAATACTAATAATAATAACAATAATAATAATAATAATAATAATAAAAATAATAATAATAAACCATGCAATAAAAATATATTACTGTACGTGCCGTTGCAGAAACTAGAAGAGTCATGTCGTCTGTACCTCTCTCTTCTCTTCTCTCTTTCTCTCCGTGATCGTCTCTTTCTGTGTGTCTGTTAGCCAGTCACTCTACCCCCTCTCTCTACCCCCCCCTCTCTCTCTCTCTCTCTCTCTCTCTCTCTCTCTCTCTCTCTCTCTCTCTCTCTTTCAGGAGAGATTGATATCCCAATATCTTAGTTGCCATGCCCAGAACTCTATTGCCCCCTTCGCCATATTTCAACAGAGAAGTTTGCCATGGTCGACTGATCCAGAGAGCAGAATTTGGATATTGTGTCGGGCTTTAGGATTCTGGTCAAAGAAACAAAAAAGACAGCTGGATAGTTAATCAGAATCAGATGTTTAAAATGATGGATGGACGGATGGGTAGCTGGAGGGGTGGGGAGATGGACTGACAGCCGATTAAGCACAGATTGACAGATTGAGGAAACGAAGCAAAACTGAAAGAATACAAAAAATGTTGGAAGAGAAGAAAAAGTTTGAGCAGACTGCAAGCAAACAAAGCGGATATAGATTTAATTGTAAGAAATACGGAAAATAAAGCTCCAAAAACAATTCCAAGGAATATAAAAAGATGACAGCTGCAATTCAATCATACCACGTGACTAAAATCTCATCTTGCTTTAATTAGATTTTGTAGAAGTGCTTTTATACAAAGTGGTCTGGATTTTTTGTATAGAACATAGTTTGGATTTTTCAAAATATAGAGCACAGTTTCGTATTTCTAAGATGGTCGTGTATCCGTCACCCTCTCAAAGATCGTACATAACAAGATTGTTCACTCAGCCAAAAAGTGTCCGCGCAAGTCCGCGCATTGCTTCAGATGGCGCAGCTTTCTTTGTTTTTAAGCTCTCTTTCGTTTCTCCAGAAGAAGAATAGGAATAGCGCAGTTTGTTAGTTTCACTTTTATTGTTTTTCGCACAAGTAGGGTAACTCGCAAAGTCTGAGCTTTTTCGAGGAAGGCGAATTTTGAGGACACTTTTTTACATTAGCACAAAGAGAGGAGGGAACTATCTTGTTATACACGATCTTTGACCCACTACCCTCAAGACCCCGACATAAGGAGAGACATTGGCATTTCCACAAGGGCAAGAAAAACAAGTCTGGCAATCGGATTCAAAACTCAGACTTCTGTTTCACAAATTCACAGAATAAGTTCATGGCTGAATCGCCCGGAAAATGTTGGGGTTTTTGGGGGGTTTTTGGGACTAGGTCGATATGACTGATTAATGAAAACGCTAACCTTCAACGTGCTTCAACAATGGCAAAGTTCAAACTTTGGCGAAAATCAAACAGGATCTCTACGGCATTGTTAAAACGATGGCTTCCCACATGATCACAACACGCAAGACTTGAATCAAGAAATTTTAGACAACAAGAAAGTAAAACTAAAAAAAAAAAGAAGATTTTAACTAAGGAAAAGTGTGAATAAAGAAGTGTTTAACGGAAGTATATACATCAAGAAATGCATAATTTACGAAAAAGAAGTAATTTCTGGCATGAATGGGACCCCAACCCCCTTTCTGGCATGAATGCTCCCCCCCCCCCCAAGAAACCCCCCCCCCCCACAACAACAGAACAAACAAAAAAGAAACAACCAAAGAGTTTTAAATGAAGTTTTATTGGAATTCACTCAAAGTTATTATGCATGGCTGAACCTTTAGTTAGGGAACATTGTGTCTAAAAAGGAGGCCCGTCAAAGACGTAACCCATTTGGGACTCATTTAAAACGGCAACAGCTCGGTAATCTTAGCACCAATTCCAACAAAACTTTGAAAAGATGAAATTCAACCAAAAATAAGTCAGAGTTGTCGGTATGAAGAAAATCAAAATCATGCGTTTTAGGAATATACGGTTTTTAAAGTTTCAACCAAAACTGAGTAAAACGCAAAACTTGATTCCTTAAAACCCCCCACAAAATTAACCATAGAAATATTGTGTGCATTCGAGGATTAAAAAACAAAGTTATTTGAAACCGACATTGCAAAAACAAAACCAGAAAAAGCGGTGGCTAAATTTATTTAAATAATAATAATAAACTCAAAGGTGTTGACCATTTTTCTCCAGACAGTTCAAATATACCTCTGGAAATTTTAAATGAGCATGTAGCAGGTTTTTCTGTCGACTATTTATTGCACCTGCACCTCCTCAAAATGAGTTTCCAAAATTTTGGTTGCGTGTGAGTTGTTTCTGTAGACTGTCTTTCCAATCCCCGAAAAAGAACTCATTGCACATTCTTACTCGCATTCTCCACACGGCAAAGTCAGTTTCAATGAATGCTTCCTTCAGTCTACAAATGCACATAATGGTTGATTTCTCTAAAGAAGTTGTTAAGTTTTGCTTTAAAAAAAACGTAATTCATGTTGAAATTTTAGGGAAAGAACCCCCCCCCCCCACACACACACAGACACACACGCACAAAAATCATACTTTTTGAGTTCATTGGTTCGTTTCCTTCATAAGATTAACACATTAAATGTAAATATATTCATTTTAACTACCAAGAGGACGACAAATTTGTCCTCTTAGCAGTTAAAATGTATTTATTCGAATTTTTGTCAGAAATGATGGAAAGATAACCAAGCTATTGTCATTTATATGTGTCCTCTTTCTTAGCCAACCGGTAGGTTGACGACGTTATGGTAATAAATGGCTAGGCCGAGTCTAGTTTGTCGGGAGGTTATATGAGTACTGACTTTTACTTCCTGCCTACCAAATGGCGCTTTCTAACACTGTAGACATTTAAACGCTTTGAGAAAATAATTAATTCGTCTGTCTGGGTTTCTGCTTGTCTATCTGTTTGACAGCCTTTCCCTCTCTCTGTTTGGCAGCCTACCCCCCCTCTCTCTCCTTCTCTTTTCTCTCCCTTTCTCTCTCTCTTTTTCTAAAAATTTCTCTCTCTCTCTCTCTCTCTCTCTCTCTCTCTCAATCTCTCTTTCCATCTTCCTCTCCCCTCTCTTTGACAAACAAAAATCCCCCCCCTCTCCTTCCTTTTCAAAAGAAATATACGCTTGTATATTATTTGAAAAAGTAAAACATAAATAAATACTTCAACAGTTTTTAAGGCGAAACTGGGGATAGAATTAACTCTGACTTCATAATAGAATCCTCAGAGTTTACCTAACTTGAAAGTGATATTGATCAGCTCCTCTTCCCCGTATCCACAATTGTTTGTACAGCCTCTTCCTCAAACACCTAACACCGACCAAATTTCGATCCTTGTATCCAGCTTCCTACCTCTGGTTACTTCCCCTCTGGCCTTCTTCCTGTTTGATTAGTCTGTCTGACCTGGAAGTGGAAATGTAGACCACTTAAACACGGTTTGTTTTCTCACTCACTCATTTGAGAGGGAACCAAGAGAGTTTTATTTTCTCACCCTCTCGGTCCCTTCTAAAATTTATAGTGAGTTTCCATCTTTGCGCAAACTCCATTTGCCCACTATTACTTACAAAGAAATACGGAATGACAAGAAACAGCTCATCGGCAAACGTCGTATTGTTGATAGAAAGGAACACAATACATGGTGACATTCATTGTTGGAAAGACAAATTATGCGTAATAACAAAAATGCGAAAAATAATGTTTTCTCTTTGAGTATTGAGCCATAACGCAACTTGAACAGTTCAAAAGAACTTGCAACATAATTTCCTTAGCGAGAGATCCTTAATGCGAAGTGAAAGACAGAATTTTTCAAATGCGTACATTAGGGTCATATAATAATATATTGTATTTTCATTCTTGCACATCATTTGACAACGAATATCGTAAACAAAACAATTCAGTCTGAATAGTGTGTACTCATCGTTAGAAATATAAAAGAAAGCGCACTCTTACGTCCCTTGACTGTCTTAGAGTTCCGTTCCTTGACAGTCTTAGAGCTCAGTACAATATCTTTGTGAAAGGACGTCAAAGTGAGCTCAGTTTCACAAGAAAATATGCACGCTTGGCTCCACGAGAACTGAACACTTTGGGCAAACGTCCACGATCTGCACCTTATGTTTATGACTCTATGACTCTCTGAAACATAGATCTAATATCACCTTCACCTATCCCGTAGACTGAAAGTCCGTGGGGGCGCTTTTGAAGATTTGGCAACCAGTTTCTTCCACTCCTTCCGGTCTTCAGCTTTCCTGAGCGTGTCTTTGAGTTCCAGACCTGTCCATTCCTTGATGTTCTCCTCCCAACTCTTCTTAATATAATAACATAGTATAGAAACTTAAATAACATTATCCTAGACCGTGCAGTGTCATGGCCGCCACTCCCAGCTCTCTATACAATAAACTTTTCTGCGAAGTGTGCGCATCACGGGCGCCCAAATGAAGAGTGAAACATCAGTCACTCTCGTTATAGTTGGGTGTACGGGACATCTTCCCCAGTAGTCCTTAGTCTCGTTCCAATCTGAGTCAAATGGCGCGCTCTACAATGAACAGGAAGTACGATGCAATGCACGATCTAAGATAATGTTAAGATATAAGTCTTTGTTTGGAAGTGGGAAAATGACGCTCTTCAACCCGTGTTTGACTTTGGATTTAAAGTCGGACAAAAACACAGAGTATGTTCTCTCAGAGGAGGTGACTCATTGTTATGTTTGTCACCAACTGGAGGGGATGAAGAGCTGAGGTTCACTTACGGAGCGTAATAATATTTGGGTAAGAGTCAATTTGGACTTGAGTCCATTCTTAAAGGCGTCTTTTACGCATGGTTTTCACGGCAACCCAGATGTGACCCTTGACCCCACTCGGAGAGGAGACCCCGGAAGTGTGTAGCAGGTCAAGTAAATTCAGGGGGGGGGGAAGGAGGGGGACAGGAGGTGCAAGTATACTTTTACCGGATTTTGATTCAGGTCGTAATCACGGACAGAGTTGACTTCTCATGTTTTCCACGTGGAAAGTAATATAATGGACCACGTTTTACAAGAGCTAACTAACTAGCAGCAGTCTGTTTCACCAAGCCACGGGTTTTGAGTTGCTCTTGTACCCGGGGTAGGTGGCGGTAGTGGGTGTGTGTTGCGCATGCGCTGAGCTGGGCGGATGTTGCTGCTGTGCTGTTGTGCTGTCTCTGTGGAGGAGGGCAGGGTTGAGGAGGGGGCTGTGGCAGTAGCGCCGACCGCAGTGGATGTCTGGGTACGAGATTATCGTCCTCCTCGTGGGCGTGGCCACTGTTTCGTGAAGGCCGGAAGACGGTCCCGGCATGCCTCTGCTGACGTCACACGGCACTACGTCAGCAGACAGCAACCCTTCCCCTCTCGCCGGCAGCAACAGCTGATGGTTGGCGCGCCGACTGGAGCAGTATTTGTGACGACACAACCGGTGCAGACGACCGTCCGAGTGCGCGTGCGTGGCGCTGTTACTGTTCTGTGTAGGACTACTGTTCTTACAGGAGGTCTCGTTCGTGGAAGGGTAAGCGTAACCGTAAGCCTGTAGCCGGCCGCCTTTCCTCCCCACCGCCTCATTCTCCGCGAGATTCGCCAGCCGGATGGCGTTGTTCGGGTAGAGATAGCACGAGTTGCCATGACTACCGGCTCTGGCGTGGTCCCCGCCCACAAACTTGGCCTTGAGCTTGTAGAAGGCGGGGATGGAGTGGGAGTTGAGTCTCAGACAGCAGCGACAGAGCGTGCGTTTGAAGGCCTGTCGGAACTTCCGGGACAGGACGTTGTACAGGATGGGATTGACGGTGGAGCTCATGAAGTACAGCACACCTGGGGACGACCGTAACAAATTTATAAAATATATATGTAATAGTATAGAATATATAATAAACACACACACACACACACACACACACACACACACACACACACACACACACACACACACACACACACACACACACACACACACACATACAAATACAAATACACACACGCACGTATTGCTATCTATCTATCTATCTATCTATCTATCTATCTATCTATCTATCTATCTATCTATCTATCTGTCTGTCTGTCTGTCTGTCTGTCTGTCTGTCTGTCTGTCTGTCTGGCGCTCGCAACTGCATACGGTCATATGAGCGAGCGGGATACATTAAACATTTATTCAGTTAGCAGAAAATTTTGAATTTTGCCTGGGGGGGGGGGGGGGGGGCGGTCGAAGCCTACTCTTATTTATCGATTTTGGACCACCAAGGGATCTTTAACATGCGCAACTTGCATACGGGTACTCTGAAATTTTTTGCCCTTATCCGAGAAAGCTAACTGTTAGATTTTCCCTACCATAGATTAGGGGTGATCCTGAAAGACTGTAAGAAGGAACTATTAAGGAGTAGCAGTATAAAGGCTGCAGAAAGAGCCAGGAGCCCAGAGGAAGGGGCAAAGAGGGGTGGGGTGGGGAAAGAAAGCAGAAAGTGGAGACGAAAGCAGACGACAGAACATTATTACAGAGCAGGAAAGGAGGAGAAAGGATAAGATTTTAGAAAAGAACATTTTCCTTCGCTGTCCGGATTCGAGCCCCGTACCTACTGAAAGCGAGGTAAACACGGTAACCTCTAACCACGAAAGCCCCCTAAAGCAGGATCAAAAGAGTGGGAGACGTTGACGGGAATAATGATATCGCAACGTCACTGCTTTCTTGTCCTATCTCCATTTGATTTAAAACATTGACAATGTGACTTCTTCTTAAGCTCACTCTTTATTATGAGCTGCTTTCACTGTTATTTAAAATGGAGATAGGACAAGAAAGCACCGAGGTCGCGATATCCTTGATCGGGCACTACTGCCAAGGCCGCATCTTTCTGGTCTCCAGAAAAACTTCACATCATCGGTGAGCACCAAGGATGCCCAGGGGCTGCACTGTGAGCAACCTGACGCTTTGATCTCAGATCTTTTCTCTGTGACTACCGCTGGGGAGGCAAAAACAAGACAGTGACAAAGTCACCACCATAGTATGAGGCTTCGTGCAACTTTCGGAACCTTCGGTGACACTGTAAAGATGACACCACTAGGGAGCGGGACAGAGGGTGCCCACCTCGTGACTCGAAAGAGCAGATGAATGTAGGACTAACATGATCTAAACAAATAACTACTAACCAGTTGTGGTAGCTATCTCCAGTTGAGGCTATGGCAACACTTAGATAAGTAACTTACCAAAAAACTTTATAAGCCTGAAAAAACATTTTTTAAACTTATTTATTATTGTATTTATTTATATAAAACAGTTTCCTGTGTGTTTACTCTAAGACTAACGGCTAATTTCAAAACCCAAAATGCAGCACAGTTTGTTGTTATTACTAAACACAAAAGAGCCAGATGATAGAATTGGGCAGAGTAAAAAAACACCAAAAAAAACACACACACACACAAAAAAACAACTAAACAAGAACAATGAAAGTTAAAACCGACCTGATGATATGATAAAGTACTAATGGAGTTAACCGACATTTAATGTGAGCCTGATGCTCAGATCATAAACCGTGAGGGAGGAGTGTCTTTTAGTTCCGATGTCTA